TTGTACTTCTTCTGTTTGATACGATATCCTGAGTTTTTGCTATAAATCAGTGATCTCTCGGCTAAGACTGTCTTTCCTTCGTTGCGACATATTTATGTTTTTAAGTAGTTCGGTAACCCATTTTCTTTTGTACCATCTCCTACCCTGTCTATCTGATCTAGGTTTCCTCAATATTACATTTTTAATACAGACCTTGTATGCTTCTGTATTCAACTTCTCCAGGCACAGGTGAGGATTTAGGGTGCTCATGTCTGTTTCCCAGGATGTCTGATAGTTCTTAGTTTTTTTTTGGCCCAGTCAGTTCATTATGTACTGGAGTGCGATAAAATTAATGAATTTAGAAACAACTCACTCAGAAGTGTTCAAGAAATGGCTAAGTATTTTATCCACAGTGGTATATTACAGACCATTCTGGAGAAATACCCTGACTTTGCTAGCTGTAAATAAAGCATTACCACATATGTGCATGTGTGTGTGTGTGTGTGTGTGTGTGTGTGTGTGTGTGCACTCACCTAGTTGAGATTGCAGGGGTCGAGTCCAAGCTCCGTGTGTGTGTGTGTGTGTGTGTTTGGTGTGTGTGTTTGTGTGTGCGTGTGTATGTGTTATGAGTGTGTGTGTGTGTGTGTGTGTGTGTGTGTATGAGTGTGTGTGTGTGTATGAGTTTGTGTATGTGTGTGTGTGTGTACTCACCTAGTTGTTGAGGTTGTACTCACCTAGTTGAGGTTGCGGGGGTCGAGTCCGAGCTCCTGGCCCTGCCTCTTCACTGATCGCTACTAGGTCACTCTCCCTGAGCCGTGAGCTTTATCATACCTCTGCTTAAAGCTATGTATGGATCCTGCCTCCACTACATCGCTTCCCAAACTATTCCACTTACTGACTACTCTGTGGCTGAAGAAATACTTCCTAACATCCCTGTGATTCATCTGTGTCTTCAACTTCCAACTGTGTCCCCTTGTTACTGTGTCCAATCTCTGGAACATCCTGTCTTTGTCCACCTTGTCAATTCCTCTCAGTATTTTGTATGTCGTTATCATGTCCCCCCTATCTCCTGTCCTCAGTGTCGTCAGGTTGATTTCCCTTAACCTCTCCTCGTAGGACATCCCTCTTAGCTCTGGGACTAGTCTTGTTGCAAATCTTTGCACTTTCTCTAGTTTCTTTACGTGCTTGGCTAGGTGTGGGTTCCAAATTGGTGCCGCATACTCCAATATGGGCCTAACGTACACGGTGTACAGGGTCCTGAATGATTCCTTATTAAGATGTCGGAATGCTGTTCTGAGGTTTGCTAGGCGCCCATATGCTGCAGCAGTTATTTGGTTGATGTGCGCTTCAGGAGATGTGCCTGGTGTTATACTCACCCCAAGATCTTTTTCTTGAGTGAGGTTTGTAGTCTCTGGCCCCCTAGACTGTACTCCGTCTGCGGTCTTCTTTGCCCTTCCCCAGTCTTCATGACTTTGCACTTGGTGAGATTGAACTCCAGGAGCCAATTGCTGGACCAGGTCTGCAGCCTGTCCAGATCCCTTTGTAGTTCTGCCTGGTCTTCGATCGAGTGAATTCTTCTCATCAACTTCACGTCATCTGCAAACAGGGACACCTCAGAGTCTATTCCTTCCGTCATGTCGTTCACAAATACCAGAAACAGCACTGGTCCTAGGACTAACCCCTGTGGGACCCCGCTGGTCACAGGTGCCCACTCTGACACCTCGCCTCGTACCATTACTCGCTGTTGTCTTCCTGAAAAGTATTCCCTGATCCATTGCAGTGCCTTCCCTGTTATTCCTGCTTGGTCCTCCAGTTTTTGCACTAATCTCTTGTGTGGTACTGTGTCAAACGCCTTCTTGCAGTCTAAGAAATTGCAATCCACCCACCCCTCTCTCTCTTGTCTTACTGCTGTCACCATGTCATAGAACTCAGTAGGTTTGTGAACAGGATTTCCGTCTCTGAAACCATGTTGGCTGCTGGTGATGAGATCATTCCTTTCTAGATGTTCCACCATTCTTCTCCTGACAATCTTTTCCATGATTTTGCATGCTATACATGTCAGTGACACTGTGTGTGTGTGTGTGTGTGTGTATGTGTGTGTGTGTGTGTGTGTGTGTGTGTGTGTGTGTGTGTGTGTGTGTGTGTGTGTGTGTGTGTGTGTGTGTGTGTGTGTGTGTGAGTGTCAGTGTCAGTGAGTGTGTGTACTCACCTAGTTGTATTCACCTAGTTGAGGTTGCGGGGGTCGAGTCCGAGCTCCTGGCCCCACCTCTTCACTGATCGCTACTAGGTCACTCTCTCTGAACCGTGAGCTTTATCATACCTCTGCTTAAAGCTATGTATGGATCCTGCCTCCACTACATCGCTTCCCAAACTATTCCACTTACTGACTACTCGGTATTCGGTATCCAGACCAGAGCTTTGGTAAGATGGGTAAGGAAGAAGGATGGGTAAGGAAGAAGGATGGGTAAGGAAGAAGGATGGGTAAGGATAGAAATATTGGAAAAGGGTGGGAGGGGGGGGGAGAGGTAGGATATAAAGGTAAGTGGCCCAACCACTTTGGTGTAATTTAAAAGTGTACGTGAAATGATAAGATATTATTTAAGGGGTATAAGACTAACCCATCAGAGTCACATAGATATAACAGATATATAAGTACATGACTCTGAATTGTTAGTAATTATACAAGTTGCAATTGCTTTTTTTTTTTTTTTTTTTTTTTTTTTTTTTTTTTTGCATTGCACAACGGATATTTATGCGACAATGAAGGCAATAATTTTCTGGCCAGTTTATGGAATCTGTGGCTGAAGAAATACTTCCTAACATCCCTGTGATTCATCTGTGTCTTCAACTTCCAACTGTGTCCCCTTGTTACTGTGTCCAATCTCTGGAACATCCTGTCTTTGTCCACCTTGTCAATTCCTCTCAGTATTTTGTATGTATTCCTCTCAGTATTTTTGCGTGTGTGTGTGTGTGTGTGTGTGTGTGTGTGTGTGTGTGTGTGTGTGTGGGGTTGTGTGTGTGTGTGTGAGTGTGTGTGTGTTGTGGGGTTGTGTGTGAGTGTCAGTGTCAGTGAGTGTGTGTGTGTGTGTGTGTGTGTGTTGTGTGTGTGTGTGTGTGTGTGTGTGATGTGTGTGTGTGTGTATGTGTGTGTGTGTGTGTGTGTATGTATCTCAACAATCAATATTTGCACCAATAACTCACTACAGTTGTGACCGGGTGTGGAAGTGTGAATTGCTCATTACACTATAATTTGTTCATGATTGTAGCCATGTATAAACGTAAGTAACCATTCTTACAGAATTCATTACCTTTGTAACTTGTGAGCTCATTACCTTTGTACCTAGTTCAGCTATCAAAACTTTGGGGGCCCAGTCCCTGGACCCATTACTTACCTCTGTAATCTGTAAATACCTTTGTAACTTGTCATGATTGTGACCAGACCTACCTGGAGTTCATTACCTTTGTAAATTGTGAGTTCATTACCTTTGTAAATTGTGAGTTTATTACCTTTGTAAATTGTGAGTTCATTACCTCTGTAACTTGCTCAGCTATCAAAACTTTGGAGTCCAGTCCCTGGACCAATTATGTACCTCTGTAATCTTTTGACTGCCGCCCACAGGATGGGTATGGGGTGCATAATAAACATATTAAACTAACTAATTAAACTAATAAAAAGCGGCTTTTTATATAGTAGTGTGTAATTGATGTCAGCTAGGCCTGCATACCTTATACATGTACTTGTAGAAATAAAGATATTAACTATTACTAACATGTGGGAGACTGAAATTTCCAGGGAGGATAATATATTTGGTGTGGAATTTTCTAGCTTATCAAGATACGATACTACGTACCGCAAACTGCCCTTCTCACACTATACCATTCGCTTATATATCCATACCTCACCTATGTTATCTGTGCTTGGGGTTCAACTGCAGCAACACACCTAAAGCCAATAATAACCCAACAAAAAGCCGCAGTAAGAATAATCACTAAATCCCATCCCTGGCAACACCCCCCTTCCCCCCACTATTCATAGATCTAAACTTACTCCCTGTTTAGAACATCCACACTTACTACTGTGCAATCTATATCTACAGGACCTTAAATTCCAATATTAACCTTGACCTAAAATGCTTTATTGATAGTTGTGACAGGATCCACAGGCATAACACCAGACACAAACATCTCTATGACATTCCCCGTGTTCGATTAAACCTTTACAAAAATTCAATGTATTTCAGAGGACCTAAAATCTGGAACACCCTACCTGAAAACTCTAGAACTGCAGACACATTCATCACTTTCAAAACTACAGTTAGAAAACATCTTATCTCCCTGATCCACCCCGACAACTAACTACATGATAACCACCTGGTGGTTCACAATTACACTCACTCACCCACTGACTATAAACCCAGAAATACTAATCTTAAAATAATAAATCCTAACTAGTGATAAGTTTGCCTATGATACTCCAATATAGACACCTTGTATTGTGCCAAAACAAAAGCATTCACATTGCTAAACTCACAAATTATGATGTAGTCACTTAGCCTTAATACCATAATCTGTAAGGATTTAATGTTAAGAATTAATCTAAGTCTGCTCGAAATGCCTAGCCATGCTAGGTGTCCTAGTGGCCCCCTCTGTAATTAGTATTTTTTAACATGTAAACCACACAATACCCAGAACCTGTAAACCCCACATTGTAACCCTTATAGAGAATAAACTGATATGTGAATTCCTCAGCCGTTGCTGGCTGTGGTTTATATCCTAAGATAATTACCAGATTCCCATTTTCAACTTTAATACCTAGAATTTCTCCTGTATCATTCAAAGAATTTAGTCTCGGGCCAACTCAAACTCAACTCACACACACACACACACACACACACACACACACACACACACACACACACACACACACACATAGAGGAATCTACACCTAAAATAAACATGTTAAGAACTGGAGAAAATTCATAGGTATGCAGTGTGACGAGTTCTAGAGCCAAGGGGTTTGAGCTACAAGGGGAGACTTTCGAAACTGATTCCAATGACACTGAAGGATAGAAGAACCGGGGAGATGTGATAACAACATGCAAAATATTCAAAGGAATTGTAGTGTTGATAGAAATAGGGTTTTTGAGAGGCGGGAAACAGGTACTCGGGGGCACAGCTAGTTAAGGACACAGATTGATGTTAAGAATTATTTCTTGTGACAGGGTGGTCGTGAAGTGGAATGACATCATGTAGGCAAGCTTTATACGTAATTTTATGAACAGGTACGATAAGGCCCACGAGGCTAGGAGGGAGTGTATTTGGCATGCGACAAGTTGAGGGGCGGGACCAAGATCTGAGAATCAACTCCTGCAATCACAGATAAATGAGTACAAGTGTTGGTAAAAAATAATAAACCCAACTACTCATTGCTTTTATCATTTAATAATTAACTACATACACGTAATGCCCTCGTGCTCTCATAATATTTTATATAAAAAACATAAAACATTTTGCCGTCTGCGTTTATTCCAAAAACAATAAAGTATTACATTATTAATATAACCTTCGTAAATGTAAAGAAAATCAAGAATAGTGGAGGAGACATCAAGTGTTAGTGGAAACTGGTGCAGGTGTGTGTGTATCCGTGTCTGTATGAGTATGTGTGTGTGGGGGGGGGGGAAGAGATGGATTTAGTGGAGATTGTAGCAGGTGAGGCAGTGTGGGGATGATCAGGGAAGACCTGAATCAGCAAGAGGGATGTAGGGACAATTCCAGGGAAGGACGCAGAAAGGATATTCTGGGTTGGGATTGAAAACGAGGGAGAAAGAGCAGGTCCTGGGCTGTAGGTGGCCCTCATTAGTGCAGTGGTAATAGTTACTGCAGCAGCCCGGACAAGCAGGGTAGTTGCCCACTCTCTCACACTTGGCTGCATGGGGCCTCCCTGTGGGGCACTCACGGGACTGCACACACATGGGGTACCTGGGGTCTGTGTTGAACACCAGTCCCCCGGGGCACCTTCTGACCACTGGGTGATATCCTCGGCCAGACGGTGACGACTGGCAGTGTATAAAGTTAGGGCAGCAGTGGTCGCACTTGGGAAAGCTTCCAGGGTGGAGACATGCAGTTGTGTTAACGGTGATGCCCTGAGTAACTGGGTCATATGGGCAGTGGGAGGGAGGGACGCAGTAGGGGTATGTGGGCACAGTGTTGAAGACCAGTCCTGTGGGGCACCACTCTACCACACCCACACTCTTCTGGTAGCAGTTGGTGTAACTGTTGCTACTGCAGCCACCCCTCGCGAAGTACCCGCTGTGGGGGCACACTCCACCTACTCCTAAGGTACCTGAAACAACTGGTAAAGATAGAGATATACCAGCAGGTGTTGGAGGCTGTGAGTGTTGAGAACAGGGTTGGTAGCACGGAGCATGGCCCACACACCTCCCTTTGGTTGCGTCAAAGACAGGTGTGTGTGTGGGACAGGTGGCACGGACGGGTCGAGGAGCCAAACTGTTGAGATACACACACACGAAGTACTTGTGACAGTTACTGAGGTCTGCTATTAAGATACCGGCGCGGGGACACACTGCCTCACACCTCACATCATCACCGATGTCACCCTCCTCTGTGTAGTGGCTTACGTTTGTGGTGTGACTCACATCTGTGGTGTGGCTTACGTCTGTGATGAAGCTGACAACCTCTGTGGTGGATGTGACATCCCCTGTGGTGGATGTGACATCCCCTGTGGTGGATGTGACATCCCCTGTGGTGGACGTGACATCTCCTGTGGTGGACGTGACAGACCCTGTGGTGGATGTGACATCCCCTGTGGTGGATGTGACATCCCCTGTGGTGGGTGTGACATCCCCTGTGGTGGATATCACATCCCCTGTGGTGAATGTGACATCCCCTGTGGTGGAGGTAACGCCTGTGGTGGAGGTAATGTCTGTGATGGAGCTGGTGTTTCCTGTGGTTGTGGTGTTGCTAAAGCTGGTGACTATAATGTTACTGGTGTCTGCTACGTTGATACTGGTGACTGTAGTATGGGTTGTTGGACTAGTGTCTGCTGTGTTAATACTGGTGCTTGTGGCATGGGTTATAACAGAAGATAAAGCATTCTTATCTTGGCAGGTGGTAATGCAAGGAACAGACCTGCGACACGTGTAGGTGGGCAGGTGGAAGATAGGTCTCTGGGGCGAACACCGGATCCTAGTGAGATGATATTCACCCCTGTCAATCATACACAGATAGTAGTAGTGGCAGTCCAAAGGGTCGTGGTGGAGGGTATTATGTGAGGAACAGTTTGGTCGATGACATCCCCACGGCTTGTATCCCTCTCCCACACTGCTGTCGAGAACACTGTGGGTGGTAGTGGTGGCGGTGCTGCTGCTACTGCTGTTTATCATGTTAGTAGGAATGGATTCGGTAGGGGCAGGGGTTGTGCTGAAGATCTTTGACTTGCAAGTTGCAGTACAACGGGCATTCCTGGAGCAGCTGCCTGTGAAGTGGTCGAAGACGGGGAGGTGTGATGGGCACCTTACCCTGGTGGGACTGACATTAGTACCGCTGGTGGCTGAACAGATGTAGTAATGGTTACAGTCTTGGGGGTCAGCCACCAAAGACTCTGGCTGGAGACATACTGGGTAGCAGGCGTCAGCTGGGGGTACAAGAGTTTCTGTAAGGGCGGCTGTTGAACCTTGTTGACTGCAAGTTATTGTGCACTTGGCATCTGGCATACAAACTTTTCTTGTATTGTCGAAAAATGGCCTTGACTGTGGGCACTTCTTGCGGACGGCCTGGGGAAAAAGGCTGTCGAGAAGGATACAAATGTAGTAATGATAACAGTCTGTGGGGTCTGACATACGAGAGTTCGGGAATACACAAGTGGGGAGACAGTTGGGTGTGTCAAGCGCTGTAGAAGACACGGCTGTCTCACTTAAGTTTGTTGCATGAGTACAAGAGGTGACACAGCGACCCTCGGCAGTGCATCTTCCCAGCTCCTGATTGAAGATTGGTCGATAAAATGGGCATTTGATGCGACGAGGTCTGGCTATGTCATCATTTATAAAGTGGCAGACATAAAAGTAGTGACAGTCCGTTGGGTCTGCCAACCAGGAGTCAGCGACTAGACACGTCGGATTACAGTCAGAGGTAAAGTTCGTATGTGTCTTGTCAAGCGTGGTAGTGGCTTCTGTTGTAGAGTTAGTATCAGTGTTAAAATTGGCTGGATATAGGGGGAGGGAGGTGAGTGTAACTGAAGTAGAGATTGTAATGGTATTATCGGGTCGTGGGGAGAGAGAGGCGGATGTAGCTGGAGTGGACTCGAAAGTTGTGATGGTATTAACATCATATGGAGAGAGTGAGGAGAGTGTAGTTGCATCGGAGGCGGGAGTTGTAATGGTATTAACGTCGGGATGTGCCGAAACGGAAGTGACTGTGGGTTGCGAAGGTGTCAAGATATTAATAGTGGCGTTGATAGAGCACCTCACCATACAAGGGTATCTCTCCACGCACACACCACCAGCCACGGCATTAAACACTGGTCGTTTTGGTGGACATTTTATCCTAATGGGTGTCGGAAGAAAGTCCTTAGTAAACCGACATAGAAAGTAGTAGTGACAGTCATGAGGATCCTCAACCATAACATCTGGCGCTGGGCACAGTAAGTCACACGTCGCTTCCCACGGAAGAGTTACAGTACTGACCTCGGCGACAGCCGCCACTCCTGTCAGTGGTGTCTCGGCAGACACACCAGGAACGTCTGTTGGTTTGATAGTTGCCTCAAATGTATCCGTCATTTCTGGTGATAGTGCAACTGTTGGTAACCCGGATATTTCCGAATTTGTAACAGTTACAGCTGCCTCACCATATTCATCACCTGTGTTTATATCAAATAGCGTTACATTGTCTGGAAATACTGCAAGCGCTGTAATAGGTATAAGAAATATCGTTGATGATGTTTCAGGTGTACCAGATACTGAGACTACTTCAAGTACATCAGGTGACGCTGTGACGACCTTAGGTATGTCTAGTGATGGAATGATGGTAGGGGTTTTGGGTGATGTCGGGGAGACTGAATAATTGTCTGGTGATGATGGCGTCACAACCTGTATGTCAGCTAATACTGAGACTATGGTAGACATTTCGGATGATGCTATTATATCTGTGATATTATCGGATGAAGTTATGACCCCATCTGTAGCCTCTGGTGACATCGTTGTGACATCAGAGGCCACTAAGTAAGAATCTGAAGTATCTATAAACGTTAGTGGAACAACTGGAGATGTTTCAGGATATGTCGTATCTTGGCTATCATCTACGGGTATCTCTGTTTCCGTAAGATTAAGAGCGTCGACCTCTTGAGAGATTACGGGAGAGAGGGAACACGGAGTGTGACACTTGACCCCTGCGAGACAAAGCTGCAGCGGGTGGCTGAACACGGGCATGGCACTTGGACAGATGAAGGGACGGGCTACAAGGCGGCCTTCCTCTAGGATACACTTGTAGTACCTGCTACAGTTGTGCAAGTCCTGTACTCGAGAATTAAGCGACACACATTGTATGCTGTTACAGCCCCAGGAACTTGTCAGTGTCGCGGATGTGGTGAAGGCTGGTATGGTGATAGGTTCGGTCTCAGGTTCAAGGGTGGCTAGAGGTGGTAATGTTGTGGTGATGGTGAGTGTGACAGCTGTTTCTGGTATGGTGGTTAGTGATGGTATTGTAGTGACGAGAGCAGGAATGGTGAGGTCAGATATATCAATATCAGTGAAGTTTACTGGAAATGGTGAAATGCCTGTGGGACTGTGAGGCACTGTATTGCTGCTGGGTATGATAGTTACAAATGGTGTACTGATGGTAGTGGGGACTGGTGAGTGAGTGATCATGGTAGTGGCTATGGTAACCGAAGACGGTATAGTAATGGTATCTGTGATATCCGAAGATATTAAGCCGCCAAATATGGCAGTTGTGTTGGTGGCGGCATTGACAGTAGTAGTTGTGTTGCCAGTGATACTGGTGCTACCCGATGTTGTAGTGTTGGCAGTAGCAGATATGGCGACAGCTGTAGCATCAGGTATGGTGACAGCTGTAGCATCAGGTATGGTGACAGGTGTAGTAACATATATGGTGACACTGGTGAAACACTGGTGGTCTCCATAAATGAGCGGCTCCCAGGTGAGGAAGAGGTGGTCGAGGGAGGCGCAGGAGGGGCGACATCTTGCGCTTCTGGAGCACTTTTGGCGATACCTATTGATTTTTTTCGTTAGACAAAATTGGTTACATCATCATTGTGTTACTATCCTATTCTGTATGATAGTTATACATTGAAAACAAAAGATAATTATGTTTCCCGGTCATATTCCATCCTGTAGAATGGGGCTCATAAAAAGTATTGAAATATGACAGCCTGAGCTGGTAGACTTCAGTAGGGCAATGATAATGGTTCTTCAGCTACGGAAGCTTCAAAAGTTTCCTTCCGGGAGAGCTAGAGTTGCTATCACTTGGGAGAAATCATTTTTTTTATGATACGTTAATCATCTCAGAGCGGAGGGCAAGAAAAATTATATATAGAAGAAAGAGGAAAGTGAGGGGAAAAATAGGATTATGGATATCAAATTACATATATACATCAGTAGATAACAATTTAGTCATTATATACCTGTTGAAGACGGGTGCGTAAGGAGGACACAAGCACCGCAGGAGGACCAATTGCTGCTGCTGCAGGATACATATATAGTAGTGGTGGCAGGAAGTCCGGTCCGGTCTGATAGCTCCCTCTCGTCTGCAACCCGGCACACACAACCCACTCCTACTCTGTAATATCCAGTCTTCAGTATTGTCTCACAATTACATTTTTTGTAACAATCTTAGAATTGGGAGAACAGAATAAGATGGTAAAAAAGAGTGTATAAATCTGGGGTAAAGGGAACACTGAATAGAAATAATCCCAGGAAGGGTTGGAGGGATGGGGTGAGGGAAGTTCTGAGTGGTAGAGGCTTGAGCATCCAACAGGTGTGTATAAAGAGACCATCCCATATCTAGGCCTTATGCCTTTATCATTCGATCATCAAAATATTGAAGGGGTTTGAATGTGCTTCTAGTATGTTATAAAATACCTCATTCTAAGATCTTTTTACTCTTGTGACTTTTGCCGTATCATTGATAGTTTTTTAATTATTTTTTTTAAGTGAGTCCAGTCATTATTTGTACTTACAAGCGATTATGAATGATTGGGAAACACAGTTTCACAGGTCTAGAACTACACTTCTTCACATCTCGGCTCCAAACTCCTCCTGGGTAAGAGTTAGGACTGTTTGATTTGTTACTTGAGAATGATGAAGAGGTGCTCTATTGGCTCACAGGAGTCTTAAAAAACTTCCTTTGCACTGATTAGGCTCAGCACAAGGTGATAATAGACTTAAAAATGTGCCCTGTTTGAAGTAGAGGAATGCTGAAGGGTTATTAATATAAACCAGCAACCACATTATCCTAGAGAGAGGGGAGGGAGGGTGGGGGTTCGCCACTACACTTTATATAATGCACAAATTAACTATAATTTTCAGTCATGAGTAAAGCTAGGGTATAAAAACACAACACACAGGGTAAAGGAGGTTTTGGGTGTAAGGGGCTTAGGCATCCAGCAAGTGTGTGTGAGCATGTTACATAGGAGTGAGTGGAGGCAAGTGGTTTTTATGACTTGATGTTGGAGTGTGAGCAAAGTACAGTGGAAACACTGGTCACGAATGCTTCCGAACACGAACAAATCAGTTCACGACCAAAAAGTTCGACGAATTTTTGCATCTGGTCACAAACACATAATCGGGTGCCGAACAAACACAGCCGCGCCAGTTTTCACATTCCACGCCATATTTTTCGCACATGCTAATTTTCCCCATTTCCTGTAATTACATCCATGATAAATTCGAATTTGCAATGTTTTACCAGCAGGTAGTGCCGATACAGCTTCTCGCAGGAAGCTGAGGAAATATCCAAAATTTATGAAATAGGTAATGATTTAAAATACCCAAGAAATATAATTGATAAATCTTTTAAAGTTGCTAGAAATACTTTTTACAATCCAAAAAGGGACAACCAGCCTTATTCAACTAAAAATATGTTGGTTCTCCCTTACCATGAAAACTTGGTTGATATGCCTTCTCTTCTTAAGACTTTTAATATTAAAGTTGTATTCAAAAATCTTGATACAGTAAAAAAACTTTTGATAAAGAATTCCCCCCAAAATGCTGATGGATGTGTCTATAAGATTCCTTGTAAAATTTGCGATAAAGTTTATTACGGTCAAACTGGTAAAAATCTCGAACTAAGATTAAAACAACATAAATATAGCATTAGAACTGGAAAAAGATTCTAATGCTCTATTTATTCATGTAAGAGATTTTAACCATCCAATTGATTTTCAAAAAGTTGAGAAAGTAGTATCAAGCAAGTCCATGGTCGACAGGAATATAATTGAATCTTGTTTCATAAAAAGCAGTTTTGACAATAATATGAATATTTCCTTTGGTTTTATATAAATTAGATCCATTTATAATTAATAGAATTTGGGAAGAATTTAATAATACATGGACAATAATAATTTTAAAAATTTTCTTGGGTAGAATAGTTTGTTGGTGGTTGTGCAAAGGGACCTGTCCAGTTGGGCCGGCGCGCGTCAGGTGTTTAACCGTTGTGGGATCTGATAGTGAGGTGTTGGCCAGACCCCTTATATACCTTCCTTGGATGCTTTACTTTCATAGTTCCTTGATAATGTGAGCAGTCACGAAAGCGCTTGAATTTCTCTATTCTTTCAGAGTGGTTGTTTTGCATATTCTGAAATCACCTGTTTACTGTGATCTTATTGCATATATATATATATATAATATATATATATATATATATATATATATATATATATATATATTATAATATATATATATATATATATATATATATATATATATGTATGTATTATGCACGGTGCCATGTCTGGTGAAAAACAGTCAAGGTGGATTAACTTTGAACTTTACATTGATATTAGTTAACCTAATAACATTACCATGACGTCAGAAACATGAAACATGGAGTGTAAGTCAGATTATCATTGCATAATCGATCAGTATTAAACAAAACACACACAAAAAATCTAATTATTGATTCCGTCATTTTGCCTCACGCCAAAAATACACTTTTTTTTCGTCTTTCAGAATCCCTGGGGAACCTGTCTTCTTTTTCTTATTATTATTATTGGGAACACTTAAACTGCAGGGGTCATGTAAGAGCTGGGGAACAGGAGGCAATCATGTTTGATCCAAGAAATGGGGGAATAAATAGTCACAATACTGTGGCTGGAACAATATATATGGTAAATAACCTACATATACGACGGAAGGAAACTTCATGATTAAATTTGTTGTGAGTTATTGAAGCAAGGAAGGGATGGACAGGTCCTGTTACTTAAATCAAGAACCCGTCACTGGCACCTCCCTGAGAAGGTAAAAGAGGGATCTTGTAGAATGTTAGATCTGGTCTATCAGATTGCTCATTGGGATGGTTATGGGGTGCATAATAAAGACCACTACATCCAGTGGCGCAGCAAGAAATAGCTATCATCGAGACAGAAAGGCGAAGAGAAATCACAAAAGAGTATATGGGCATGGTTGCCAGTGTGGCGTTATGTTCAGTATAGTTGATATGATACGGGCCAGCAATCTTGATGTCTCGTGCAAAATTTGGATAGGTTGGTGGTCTGGAAAGGGAGTGGCAGCCGCTGCCTGTCGAGTGGCAGAAGACTTTCTTCGGATTATTAACCTAACGTAGGATATATATGCCTGAAGTGTGTCTCAGTGTATATACACTGAAAGTTTAATACCTACTTTGTGGTTTAAATATTATTATTATTATTATTATTATTATTATTATTATTATTATAAAATCAATAAGGGCTAAATTTATGGGATAAGTATTTTTTACTTACGGTGAAGATGCAGCCTCAGTGACCTTCGTGTAGTTGACAGGTTTTAGACCCTGTTAACCTTAACTCCAGAGGGTTGGTCACCCATGTTAACAAGCAGTGTGGCTTCTTTTTGTCAGGTTATTTTGGTCCTGCCTCCCAGCATACATAAGGGATATTACCAATAGACCCCTGGCTGTCTTCAAGCAGGCACTGGACAGGCACCTAAAGTCAGTACCTGACCAACCGGGCTGTGGTTCGTACGTCAGCTTGCGTGCGGCCAGCAGTAATAGCCTGACTGATGAGACCCTGATCCACCATGAGGCCTGGTCTCAGACCGGGCCGCGAGGGCGTTGACCCCCCGAAACCTTCTCCAGGTAAATCCCAGGTAGTATGCCACCCACAACAGTCTGATTACCGTTATTATGCCTCCTATACCTATCCTGTGACGACAGTCGACTAACTTCTCGGTATTTATTTACTGCTTGGTGAAGAGAACACGGGTAGTGCACCTTGCCCATATGTCTGCCTCTCCCGAGGATGAAACCCGGGTTCTTTCGGTTGTTACTCCATGGAAAATAAACTTTACTTACTATTATTTTAAAGTACTAAACCCATATGGGTGATTAATGTCGAAGAAAAACACTTAAGTGAAACAGGAGTAGCCGGACTAGAAAAAGATCATGATTTTGCGACTGTTACTCTAATTAATTATTATTAAAGGTGGATAAATATTCCTGGATCAGTATTATCGCCCAGGCACACACTCTCACAAATTATTTACGTTGATGGTTCTGTTCACGAAACCACTGTTGCAGCTGGTAGTGCTGCTGTTGTACAGAGTGATGGTTCTCTTAAAGAAATTGGAGCACGCATTAATAATCGGGCCTCTACCCTTCAGACAGAACTGTTTGCCATACTCCTTGCACTCAAATGTGTCCATGTATCTAAGATTGATACTTTAATTGTAACTGATTCTCTGTCATCCATAAATGCTCTCAACTCATTAAGTATAAATTGTGGTATGCTTGTGTCAGAAGCCAGACACAGGTATGGTAAGATTGTGGACAGTGGAGTCAGAGTGCACATGCTGTGGATTCCATCTCACATTGGTCTTCAGATGCATGATAGAACTGATAAATTGGCTAAGCTGTATGCTTTCAAAGAGGGAGTAGATTACAATCTTGGGTTGTCAGTTAGCAGTTTGAGAACAATAATACGAAAAGAACTTCAAATGAACTTTATTGACTTAAGACTCAGGGAGATTGACACCAGTGAGTCCATCTATCATCATTCCATCATGCAGGAGGAGCCACATGTCTATGGTGCATCCAACAAAATAAGCAGACTCTTGGATGTCACTACTGCCCGGCTCCGGCTGGGTTACAAGTATCTTTGGCAGTTAAATCACCACCACCAGATGTAGACCAAACGAAATGTAAACTTTGCCAGATGGACTATTGTCACACCTTGCGTCATTATGTGCTGGAGTGCGATCAAGTTAATGAATTTAAAGACAACTCACTCAGAAATGTTCAAGAAATGGCAAAGCATTTTATCCACAGTGGTATATTACAGACCATTCTGGAGAAATACCCTGACTTTGCTAGCTGTAAATAAAGCCTTACCACGTGTATGTGTGTGTGTGTGGGTGTGTGTGTGTGTGTGTGTGTGTGTGTGTGTGTGTGTGTGTGTGTGTGTGTGTGTGTGTGTGTGTGTGTGTGTGCGTGCGTGTGTGTGTGTATGTGTGTGTGTGTGTGTGTGTGTGTGTGTGTGTGTGTGTGTGTGTGCGTGCGTGCGTGTGTGTGTGTGTGTGTGTGTGTGTGTGTGTTGTGTGTGTGTGTGTGGTGTGTGTTGAGTTTGT